TAAATAAAGAAAAAAAAAATTGTATAATGCCGGCGACATAAATTTGAACGCTCTGACATATGAAAATAATCCAAAAACAAAATCTTTTTTTGACATGCTTTTTAAATATAATATCTTACCAGTTATAAATAAACCAACTAGGGTAACTAAAAGTTCGGCAACTGCAATCGATAATATCTTTATTAACAATTATATAGAAACGTCATTTGAGACAAGTATTTTTAAAACTGATATTAGTGATCACTTCCTAATATACGGTAAAATAAATCCTTTCAAAGCCCCATCCAACGGGGATCCCAAAGTCATAACTCTAAAAAAACGAAGTTAATAAGAATAATCTTTCCGATAAACTAAAGCAAGAGACGTGGAATCAAGTTTTCAATTGTGATAATACAAATAAAGCATTTAATATTTTCTTAAACACATTTCTTGACATTTATAACGTGCCCGTATGAATTCAAAATAACTAAAAAAAAGAAAACAATATTGAATCCTTGGATGGATAAAACTCTTATAAAATGTTCAAGAAATAAACAAAAACTTTACAATAAATTTTTAAAAAACAGAACTGAAGTTAATGAAAAAAGTTACAAAAAATATAAACGTTTTTACAAAAATCTTCTCAAGAAAGCTAAAAAAACATATTATAGTAAAGAAATTACAAAAATCAAATTCGATGTGAAAAAAACTTGGGATTTAATTAACGATATAATGGGAAGAAAGAAAATAAATACGGCTATACTACCTCAAAGAATAAATATCAATAAAACTGATATCTATTGTCCATTTCAAATCTCGAATGAGTTAAATAAATATTTTACAAACATTGGCCCTAACCTTGCTAAAAAAATCATAACTAAACCAAATTCTTTTCAAAAATATCTTAAATCTTTAAATGGCGCGATGCTGCAAGATCGCGAATTTTCTCATGAAAAGTATGAAATCGCTTTTTCTTTTTTAAAAAAGAATAAATCACCTGGTTTCGATGATGTTTCTAGTAATATAGTTATTTCAAACAAAAAATACATCTCAAAACCTTTGTTGCATATTATAAAACTTTCAATAAAAGAAGGAATTTTTCCTGAAGCATTTAAGTTGGCAAAAGTATGTCCAATTTACAAAAATAATGATCAATCTGAAATCTCTAATTATAGACATGTATCAGTACTTTCTGTGTTTTCAAAAATATTTGAACGTGTAATTTATAATAGAATCTATAACCATTTTAATGAAAATAATTTATTTTATACAAAACAGTTTGGTTTTCGGAAAAAACATTCAACAGAACACGCAATAATCGAAATAGTAGACCAAATTACTAAAGGATTTGAAAATAATAGCTTCACTTAAGGATTATTTATTGACCTATCAAAAGCATTTGATACGGTTGATCACCTAATTCTTTTGGAAAAAATAAAACACTATGGAGTGATAAATAAAACTTATGATTGGTTAAAAAGCTACCTCACTGAGAGAAAACAATATGTTATTAGTAAGGAATCAGGTCAACTTAATATTTTGTGTGGAGTTCCGCAAGGGTCAATTCTTTGTCCATTGCTTTTCTTGATTTATGTAAATGATTTTAATAATGCATCAGCTAAGCTTAACTCAATAATGTTTGCTGACGACACAAATCTCTTCCTTTCAAACTGTGATATTAATCAACTGTATTTTGACATGAACTCTGAACTAATGAATGTAGATGAATGGTTTAAGGCAAATAAACTTTCACTCAATGTAGATTAAACAAAATATACTTTATTTCATAAATCATAAGATGAAAAACTTCCTTTAAAATTACCTGACTTGATTTTAAACGATGCACTAATTAGTAAAAATGATTCAATGAAATTCTTGGGAATTCTTATTTATGAAAATTTATCATGGCTTCCCCATATTAATTATATTCAATCAAAAATTAGTAAAACAATTGGTCTAATGTACCGTATTTGTCCATATGTAACATCAGAAAGTCTGAAACTAGTATATTTTGGCCTAATACATTGTTTCATATACTATGCCAATATCACATGGGCTAGTACTCAACCAACAAAACTTAAAAAAATATTTTCTTTACAAAAACATGCATGCAGACTTATATATAAAAAAAAAATATGAACATGCAAAACCATTAATGAAAGACATGAAAATGATGAATATATATGAAATCAACATTTACCAACACCTAATTTTTATGTATAAATGTAACAACAGCTTGATTCCAAAAAACTTTAATGATAAATTTACAATAAATGTAAACAAAAAATATTCTTTTAGAATAAACCAATGGAATACTTATAAATTACCAAGAATTAATAGTAAGTATTCTGAATATGGAATATCATACCGTGGACCAAAACTATGGAACACTTTCCAAAAAACAAAATATTTAAATACTGTAAAATCATTAAATTCCTTTAAGTTTATAATAAAAAATGAAATTTTTAAATTAGATAAATAGTTTTCTTGATTTTTCGAAACGAAAAACGAGTTCCATTATTCTTAGTTTTTTTACTTTTTAATTGGCTCTTATTTTGATACTTAACAGAGTTGCCAATATATTTTAATGAATATTGATAAAACTATATGATGTTATTTACTTTCTTGATTTAATGGAAATATTTATGCAAGCTTTAACCTTTTTATTATATTGGAGATACTATTTTTTTAACTTGTAAAGCCCACCTAGGGGCTCTATGAAAAGATTGTGGTGACTTTAGTCATCCGTATCTTCTTTGAGCCCCTGCCTGTTTATTATAAATTCACTTTTTTTTGTATGTAAACGTTTCTTTGTAATTATATTTCTTATTATATAAGCAGTAAATATATATTAAAAAAATATATATATATTACGTATTTATATTATATTATACTCGATACTAAAAAGCATTGTAAAGGGCTTCATGATAAGATCCTCATGATCTTCTAGAAGTCCTGCCGCTAAATTTGTAATATGTTAAAATTTGTATTATTAATATTATTATTATATATATATATAATAATAATATTAATTATTATATATTATTATTATATATATATATATATATATATATATATATATATATATATATATATATATATATATATATATATATATATATATATATATATATATATATTAATGTAAAAAAGGTCTCTTTCGACTACAATTTTGCTACCTCGACAATAAAGTTACAAATTGTTGTCGTAGAAATGTCAAAGCAATTAAATTTATTGTTTTTTAAAAAAAACCGCAATAATAATGCGGTTTTTTTTAAAAAACATAAACACCATTAATTTTTAATTAATGGTGTTTATGTTTTTATTTTATTAAAATATATTTTTAAAACATGCGCGGAGTGTTGCTACATTGACGCTTTTATAGTCTGCTGCTACAAGGGAGTGTTGCTACATCGACTATCTTATAGCCTGACTCGCAACGGAGTGTTGCTATATCGACTATCTTTTAGCCTGAATCGCAACAGAGTACTGCTACATCAACAATCTTTTGACTTGCAAGGGAGTACTACTACACTAACTGAGGGTTTGGTTAGGGCAGGCAGTCTATTATTCAAGAAAAAAAAAATTATTTAAGTTTTCAAACTATTTTTGGTCTGGTTTATTAGCGCTTACTTTAAAACCTATATATATATATATATATATATATATATATATATATATATATATATATATATATATATATATATATATATATATATATATATATATATATATATATATATATATATATATATATATATATATATCGTTACGTTAGAATTATAAGGTTCTACCTGCCATTTTTTATGTTGTAAGAACTTAACTTTCAATATTTATTTAATATATGTTTTACAGCTTTTATTCATTATAATTATAAATTGTTTATGTTATCTGTTAAAAATGTTAAAAAATTATATATAATATATCATTTTTAAGTGGTTTGTTTTTATTATTAATTATTAATTAAAACTTTGATTGTTAAATTCTTTCAACATAAAACACAGCAGATAGAACCTTATAATTCGCATGCGACGATATATGTGTGAGTGTGTGTTTAAACAATTTTAAAAATGTATTCTACAAAATAGAGTGTTCAATGTTCTTAAAAGAACAGAGCAATTATAAATTAGTAGAAAATCACTTAACAAAGTGTTTTTTAATTTTACACTATGTTTCATCAATAAAGACTCATCAGAAATGAATGATCAAATTAATAAAACTTCAATTTATACCAAAATATTAAATTACATGAAGTCGCAAATACTTTAACTACTGTAAATTTTCACATATTTATGGAATTTGCTGACACTATTATAAAAAGAATTCATTAGAAATGATTACTTATGCTTTTTAAAAAAAAAAAATTTTAAAGGGGGGAATTTAATATAACTTTATATTTTGAGCTCACTTATTTTTATAGTTTTTTAGAAGAAACTTATTTTCGTGCCTGCATTTAGAAAGCAATTCCGATTTTTTGTTTAACAAACATACTTGGTTTGCACCCAGCCGGCACGGGGACGTACAACAAACATACAATGAACGTTCAGACGGAACGTCTTAGACGCGTTCAAAACATATCAATGTATAGACGCTCAAGGACGTCCTATTCGGACGTTCAAAAGACGTCCTATTCGGACGTTAAAAAGACGTCATATAGAGACCTAAATAAGACGTTCTAGTTAAGTTCAGTTTTCTGGAAATAGGCACGCGTTCTATAATAGTTCTAATTAATTAATTAAGCGATATCGGGATTACTTGTACGCATATGGAAATTAAGTTCCATAGGCGTACAAGTATCGCTCTAGCGGTATCAGTTCGATATCTATTCTAAAATAAATGCTGGAGCATTTGTTTTAGAATAGATATCTTTTGAACGTACAAATTAGGTTCTGAATGTTTTAAATACGCTAAATAATGCATGATTTAGCAGTTACAGAAATTTGAAAGGTTCATGATTTTAAGGTTGAAAAGATAATGGAAACGGGAGCAGTTTCGCCTTAATACACGATTTGAATACACAATTAAAAGTATACACAATCTACAAAATATTTCAGTCTACAGATTTTAAAAAATGTCTTGAATACTGTCATTGTCGTTGCTTTCTTTTTCACGACCACCACCGCCTTTTCTGTCCGGCGCTCTTTTTAGGACATTACCAATACACTTTTCGATTTCATTTCCAGTATACTTGGGCATGGCCTCTGTGAAAAAAAAAAAGTAACATAAGAAAGTTTAGAACAATAGTTCATGTTAGCCCTCACACACTTAATTAAATATTAACAACAAAAACCTGTTTATGATATATGTATGATACAGTATAGTTTCAACACTGAAACTAATAAGTCAAATTATATTATAAAACTAAAAACCCAAGTTAAGTTAAAAAAATAAATTATATCTATGTACCAACAATGATCTTTATCAAATTTGTCTTGCGAAATGGCATCTTCTTCCCTGTACCATCCAAATTAAAATTTGACATTAACTTGTTTGTCATTAGTCTAGGTAGTAAATAGAATAATTAAGTAATATATAGCATAAGTTTAAGTATATAATCATAGCGTACAGCTGGCTGAAGAAATGTTATCATGTCAGCTATGAACTTGTGTTATTCCTTTCATATATTTAATGTAGATCATAATTTTGCAGACAAAAAATATAATTAGAAAAATAAGCAATGAAATATTTTCCAGATACATACTTTAAAAGAATTGCTTTAACATTTGCGTAGCATGTGACACCACCTATTTTGGAAAGTTGGGTTCTCTAAAAAAAAATTCAATTATTCATTGATAAGGATGAATGATAGAATTTGAATTTCATATATGAAACATGTTAGGGTAACTTGTGTTTAAAATTCCTTATTTGATTCCAAAAATCAACAAAAGTTCTATAACAGCAAAATCTGGAAATTGCACCTATATATAATTAAACTAAAACTTACTAAACTAGTATATTGACAATTTACATTCAATCCATTATCAAACTCCTGAAAATGTTCCAAATCAGACATTTGATATATAAAATATGGTAAATCAGGTAACTTATCGTGGTTGCCTTGTTTCTTAGTTTCCTGTAAAATCTCTTCTAATTTGTGAAGAACTTTATACTGAAATTCTGTAGAATTGAAAAAAAAAAATCAATATAACCAGAATAAAAGAAAAATGTCATTTCAAAACTTTTGCTTTACATCATCTTTATATATGAAAAAATTAATATTTATTAAAACTAATATAAAAACATTCAACATATATAAGAACAACATTGCAATATTGTTAGGCATAATGTAAGAACTTTTAAATATAAATTCTTGCATACTTGCTTCAGTTAATGGAAACTTGTTTAATGCTATATTCAAATTTTTTGTTCTTTCTTGCTGATCCCTTTTTGAAACAGTTGTTTTAAATGGAGAATTTAGCTGCGATAACAAGGATGTCCTTAAAATTCTCCGAGGTATTTTTGATTGTAGTGGATGTTGATGAATTGGGTGTAAAATTACAGGAGAAATGGTATTTTCCTGATTGGTAGAAGATAAAAAGAATGAGGATTGTGATGCAGTTGGGGACAAAGAATGAATCAAAGCAATAGGAGTTTTAAACGGTTGTTGGTATTGTGATTGTGCAATAGGAGAAACACATTTTCTTTTAGCAGCAATTGGAACTAAAATATATAAACATAGTAAAATATTATGTACAATATGTTTGCAATATGCTTAAACTAAAAAAAATAATTACTTTTGCGCTTTTTTAGATTATGCAACTCTTCATTTTCTTCGTCAGATGTGAAATCAAAGCCATCACATAAACTTTTGTCATCTATAAAGGAAAGTAAAATAACTTCATATAAAAAGAACATAAAAGCCAAAAAATATTCCAATAAAAAATAGTAATAATACCTGATTGAATCTTAACTTTTATAATTGGATATTTGATCCAGTCGTCCTTCGGTGGCCATTGCTGCAAACAAGCTCGAACAACATTAATGCCTATTGGCCAACAAACATTGTTTTCTATAATCCAGGTGGTAGGAATGGTCATTTCTTCTTCCCTTAATGACTCCTTCCATACCACTCTTGACCATGACATAATTTTAACTTTTAATACTTAAAAAATAACAATAAATAAACATAGATCGAAGTAGAATCAAAATAAACATCAGACATTATTGTGCAACTGCAATAAACTCGATATCAAACTATAATAATATATAATAAACAACATAATGGCAAATTAGTGTTAAATTAATGCACAAATTATTAAGTATCAAAGTATATACAGACCTTGTTTTAAAGCATTAAGCAATTTTCGTACTTCTTAAGCAATTTTAAGCAATTTTTTTTTAATTATTCTAATTATATTAAATAAAAAATAAAAATTGCTTGACCTCACAAAAAAGGTTGAGAAAAGAAGACAAAAAAAAAAAAAGTTCAAAACAAGGCCTGAATATATATATATATATATATATATATATATATATATATATATATATATATATATATATATATATATATATATATATATATATATATATATAAATATAATAAAATTTTATAAATAAAACACAATTTTAATATTAAAAATAAATAATTATGCAAATAAGAGTAAATAAGAAAAAATATATACAAAATTTACAACTGTAGATACATTTACTCAACATAAATGAACTTTTCAGTTTCCGCTTCGTGCAAAACAGGAAATATGGCAAGCCCCCTGCGTTCGGGAAAACAAACACACTTTTTTTTCAAGTCAATTTTAGAAATTAATTTTTTTTCAACTTTTCCATAGTTTCTTTCCACTAGCAATGCTATATTAAATCTTAAAGATGGAACTGGTTTCTCATATAGATTAAAAAGATACCTTCGATTAATAACATCACAACTAAAAGCTTCGTTATTTTCATTTTCCGTAACAAAAGCAACTGAATTGTCAGTAAGAAGGAAGCATCTGTCTTTTTTATTTTTCGATATTTTTGTAAACAAAGACTTATGGGGAACATGTTTGAAAAAATTTTGAAATTCTACTTGTCTTTTACACACTTGCACAATAGGGCTACTAGAGTTGTTAACTGACTGCTTTACTCTTTGAAGAAAGTTTTCAAACGGAAAACAAGAAATACTGTTAAACGAGCAACAATGATTGATACAATCATCAGCTAAATGAAGTAGGTTATGTACATTATATACAGTAAATGTTTCTCCATAAATATACTTACATGAATAAACAAAATGTGCCATCATACTGCGAGCTAAATCTAGATGATTGTTGCAAAACTGGTCGTTAGATGTCAACATAATACCAATAGAAGTGCTTAACAGAAGAAAGTGCTCATATATTTGTTCAGATACAACCCCTTTTAATACAACAGGACCTAAATATATCAAAAACTGTCGAAACTCAGTAGCTTTCCAACGATCTAAAAATTGAAGACTTCTTGGTTGACGAGCAAATTCACTTGGCAGATATCCATTTAAACAAGTTAACCTATTGGAAATTTCAGTTACCTGTGATGCTGATATTTTTCCAACTGGACCTTTCATTAAATATTTTAGGATGCGTTTTGTAACTCCCAAACAAACCAAATGCATATAATCTAAAACAAAAGAATTAACACACTGAATTAGGGTTGTTAACCGGAGGATTTCGTGCAATTCCGGAAAAACAACATTCTTTCGTAAGGAGATTGAGAACACGGAATTACATTTTTTCGTACCGAATGTTACAAAACATTTAAAATCGCCGATGTTCATTTCGCAAAAGCCACTTCCGAAATTTAGCATTTCGAAAGTTGACATACGAAACAAAACTATTTTGCAACATACGAAAGTAGCGGTTTCGGAAGTCGCACTTGCGAAACAAACATTTTTGCCAAACGACGTTTTGAAGTCTATAAAGAAAATTTGTTTGCCAGACTGATTTTAATTGTAAAAATTAACATCTTTAAATCCCAAAATGTTTATAATGAATTTTTATTTTCAGTAAAATAACTTATTAAATTTTTACGGTTTTATTTTTAGAAATATTGATAAAAAATAAAATTTCTTTCGAAACGAAAGTATTTCGGATCACAACATACGAAAGAATTCTTAACGGAAATAAACTTACGAAACGTGCCATAATAAATATATACAACGATGTTTTTTGAACTCATTACGTATATTAAAAATAAGAATGATGGGTAGGAATATACATGTTTTTTTTTAAAGCATATGAAATTTTTGAAACAGGTTCGAATATGCTTAAGCAAATAGTAAAAAGAGGCTCAAAAATATGCTTTAGCTTAAGCATATTTCTGATAAAATATACCTATTTCAATAATTTCTAAAAGTGTGCACGTTACTAAAATTCTAGCAGATTTTAAAGGTATGTAGAGTCCTGTTTGAATACGCTTTTCAAAGTATAGATCATAGAAAATTTTGTTTTTTAATTTTAATAAGATATAAATTTGAGTATAAGATTGTATAGTTCAATCAGTTAGATACGTGATAATTCGCCGCAGAGATCCGGGTTCGCATCCCGCAGCCATTGTAACTTTTGTTCATCAAACTCTTTTTACTTAAGATAGCATTTTTTGACCTCCACGTTCTATATTACAGATCTTTCGTCGCCTTCACAATAGTGACAACCTCTCTTCTGTTAGTTATTCTTTTAAGATTGAGTTCATTGTGCTTAATTCAACACGTTTCCCTTGCTTTACCAAGTTCTACTTAAATTATGATGAAATGTACGTAAAACAATTTTTTCAAATAATATAATTCATTTTGCTTTAAATCTTTTGCTTTTTGTACTAGACATCTGTCCTAAATACTTTGTAATAATTTCTAGCTAACTCTGAGTCTAATATAACCATTTCTGAATATAATTTCCCTGAGGCTCCTACAGCCTATTGTGTTCCATTAAAAGTAACTAGTTTTTGAGTCCAGATATTAATTATAAGCATCTAAAGGTTCACATTACTATTCATTTTCCTGATATATAGAATCCTATTTGCATACGTATCTCTTTCTGTAAATTCTGTTTTATATAGTTTCAAATTATATATTAAATAAATATTACTATTCTCTTAGTTGAATGAACGTATAGCTCATTCAGTTAAGACATTTGGCCGCGTAGACCCAGGTTCACATCCCGCTGTTTCACATATATTTCTTCTCTTTTTACTCTTTCTGATATCATTTACGTTTAGAGAGATCTCTCGTTCTTTATAATAAAGTATTTAATTGTTTATTACACATCCTCTTTATACTTTTTAAAAAGAAAGGCATACTGTTTATCTATTCATTGAGAGTCCAACTTAACGGGATTTTACTGTATATATAAGTATATATTTATTTATATATATATATATATATATATATATATATATATATATATATATATATATATATATACATATATATATATATATATATATAAATATATATATATATATATATATATATATATATATATATATATATATATATATATATATATATATATATATACTAGGTTGGTTGAAAAGTTCGCGGAGCGGCACCTATGTTGCAGTAGTAGAAACAAATTTATAACTGTATTAAACGTATTCATTCTTCGTATGAACGCATAAAAAATTTCAAGTCGATATGTCATTTCAGTCTTTGTTTACAAGCTATTGAAATTAGACGTGTCATAGTATTTTTTAAAATGGAAAATATTGAACATCGTGCTGTAATAAAATTCTTTGTGAAAAAAGGTTTAAAGCCCATGGAAATTCATAATGAAATGGTAAATGTGTTGGGTGATGATGCTCCTTCAAAAACAACAGTATGCAAATGGGCTGCGGAGTTTCAACGTGGGCGTTCAAGCCTTGAAGATGACCCTCGCTCTGGACGTCCAAAAAGTGCTACTACTGAAGAAACGATTAATGCTGTGCATGACATGGTTATGGATGATAGACGATTGACCAAACGTGAAATTGCTGAGGCTGTGGGCATCTCAGATGAACGGGTATTACACATCTTGCACGATGAATTACGTCTGAGAAAGCTGTTGGCAAGATGGGTGCCGCATTCGCTAACTCTGGATCAGAAACGCACTCGAGTAAAACTTTCTCAAGAACATTTGGCCCGTTTTCAAAAGAATAAAACAGATTTTGTGCGTCGATTCGTAACCATGGATGAGACTTGGGTTTACCACTATGATCCGAAGCTGCGACAACAAACTGCAGAGTGGACAGAACCCGGTTGTTCAGCTCCGAAGCAAGTGAAGGCGTCAAAATCGTCAAAGAAGGTTATGGCATCAGTTTTTTGGGATGCGAAAGGAATTTTATTAATAGATTACCTTCAAACCGGTAAAACGATAACAGGTGAATATTATAAAAATCTTTTGGACCAGTTGGATAAAAAAATTCGTGAGAAAAGACCTGGTTTGCTGCATAAAAAAATCATTTATCACCAGGACAACGCACCTGCTCATATCAGCGATGTTGCAAAGGCGAAATTGGTCGAATTAAAGTACGAACGCTTGGAACATCCACCCTATTCACCAGATCTGGCTCCGTCCGACTTCCACCTCTTTCCACATCTCAAAAAATTTCTACGTGGAAAGCGTTTCTCATCACATGAAGAAGTCATTGCAGCCGTAAATGGGTATTTTGAAGGCCTTCCGGAATCGCACTTCAGAGATGGGATACATGAATTGGAAAATCGTTGGAAAAAGTGTATTGCTCTTAAGGGAGAATATACTGAAGAATAAAGTCATTTTTTGAATCATAAAATTGTTTTTTCATTTCCGCTCCGCGAACTTTTCAACCAACCTAGTATATATATATATATATATATACATATATATATACAGTAAAATCCCGTTAATGTATATATATATATATATATATATATATATATATATATATATATATATATATATATATATATATATATATATATGAATATATATATATATATAAGTATATATATATATATATATATAAGTATATATATATATATATATATATATATATATATATATATATATATATATATATATATATACATATATATACAGTAAAATCCCGTTAATGTATATATATATATATATATATATATATATATATATATATATATATATATATATATATATATATATATATATATATATATATATATATATATATTAGGTATATTTGTATAAACATTTGAAGAATCATTTGACAACATTTTTTTATAATTTTATTATTTATTATTTAAACTGTTAACAGTTAATATTTTAAATATATCGTAACATAAAATCTTTTGCGTCTTTTTCGTAACTACA